CTAGGTAGGGCTTAAACTCCTATAGGTAACTACTAGGCTTAAAGCGGTAATCAATCAATCCAATCTGAACCTTCTAGGACCCACTTAATTGATTGTTGCGGACTGTGCCTACACCACTGAACGCCCTCCCTCCCTCACGCCCCAAACCGACTCGATATACCAACCCCCTATACCGAACAGCTCTAGCACCTGCTGTCACCAGCACACTCACGAGCAAACTATTGACAAGGCACTAGATGTATAATCTATGATTGCTGTAATAGATCCAATATACATGCCGACACCACCGAACGCCCTACCTACCGAACCCCCCAAACCGACTCGTTATACCGACCTCATATACCGACAAAACCAATAGAGAGAGCTACTCTATAAAACTAAAAAACTACTTTCTTACTACAAGAGCTCGCTGCTACATCTCTTTCTGTCTACCACACTGCTCTTCAGCACTAGCGCCTACTCTAGATCTACTCTAGAATAGGAGTACGCAAATCATCCCCCAAATTGTACTACCCCCGAAGAAACCACCCATAGAAAACATTACATAGAACGGCCTAGGCCAAAGTCTTGCATAGTCTCTGACTGAAAAGGACTCTAAATGGAATAATAATAATAATAATAATAATAATAATAATAATAATGTTGGTAGGCCTTGTACGATCGTACGGGTGAATAACAACAACGAGGTTCTTCTGGTGACTGGTATTGGTATTGATCTTCTACGAACATAGCTGCTACGAAGGTACACCTAAGCTCTGCGCAAGGTGGGCCGAAGTCGGGCCGAAGTGTCAAGCAGCCGACGTCTCTACCGATACTCACGATTCGACATTGGAAGTCTTTTCTTTCTGGATAGCTAGTAACTCTGCTTGTATCGGTAGTGACAGTGTGTGTAGCATCAAACATCAAAGCTTGTCGGCCTCTGCACCCATCCATCTACTCGGACTGTCAGCTTGTTGCCGTCAATAAAGCGTTCAAGAGCGCGGTTTGGCGATGCCTTCGTGAAGGCGTCAGCAGGATTATCGTCACCATTGATCCAGCGGATCTCAGTGATCTCGCGACGCTCATATGATTGACGCAGCGCCATGATGTCGATCATAAGACGCTTCTCCTTCGTTGTTCCAAGCTTAACGAGGCACTCGTACAAGGAGTACGAGTCTGTACAGACAACCAAGGGAACCTCAGGTATTCTAAGTCGTTCTGTGACTATTCTTAAGGTAGTGGCAATAGCGATGCCTATATCAAAGCCGTTGACCATGCCATAAATCTCAGAGGCTAGTACGCTCCTTGTGACGCGCTTACATTTTGTAGAGCTGTAGTGGATTATGTTGCCTTGGATTGTGAAGGTGTTAGCGTCAATAGACTCGTTGACGAGCATGAGGACAAAGCCGAGCTGTGAGCTGAGGTCCTTGTTGTTGGCAAAGGAGCCGTCTACGAAGACCATCAACTTAGCCTCCGTGAGATTGACAGTGATGTAACGGAGGCCACGATCGAGGTTCTCTATCTGCCACTTCAGGCGCTTGTTGAGTGCCTTGATGTCCTCATCTGATGGTTGCTGCGCCTGAGCGGCGACGGACAGATCGAATGACGCCTCTGGTTGGCATGTTGATGCGATGTACGCTCCGCGGGCGCGCTGCTCTGTGTACTGTTGCGCGCGGTCGGGTGCCCTAACGTCCACAAGTTTGATCTTTCCTCCTTGTCCTTTCTGCCTAAGGTTCAGAATTGGTTTGCTAGCGTCGATCGTGAGTGTACATCCATTAAAATCCAATTGAATTTCTGGTGTAAGGACAGACTTTGGTTTCGATCTAAACTCTGCCTTCTGGATCTTTTTCTCTTCAAGTAACGAGAACGCGGGTGTCCCAAGCATGAGAGTGTCATCTGTTTGCATGCCAACGATGCCGAAGATGCTGGTGTCGCTGTTTGTGATTAACAGGCATGGGTCGTACGTAGATGTTGCCATGTCCAGTTCCTTGCAATGGTGCCCATGATAGGTTGTCCACCAGTGGACTCCTGCCTCTGCGATTCCATACAGTGGCTTGATCACATGGAGTAGCGTGCCCCTCGGATATCGTGGTACCAGCTCAGTAGGAAGATGTGCGAGTATCGTCCTCTTCAGGGTTGTCTGCGCCTGGGGATACGCCTGCGTGATATCACGGAGCTCTATGTTCATTCCGCGTTGTACCATCTCGGGCGCCAGCGACATGATCAGGCGCTGGCTGCATCGCTGGATGGTTGGAGATTGCGTCAAGATAGCCTCTTTGCCGTGGTCTTGGTAGCCTTGGGATAACAGGGCGGGATTTCTCATAGGGCTTGGTTGGTCTTTTCCTTTGACCTCACGTACCAGGCGTGACTTGGAAGATCTCGGATCTTGCTGTG